TACCCAAAACCCCCTTTTCGATTACCTTTGATAATAAGTTTTAAGATTTTCGTTATGACGAAAATTGACAAAAATTTAGCTAATATGCTCAATAAAATTGTTTTCAATTCCACTTCCACATTCAATTTGTCCGATGTTCATAATTTATTGCGTCATGGCCAGTCGGATTTCAAATGCTATGTGACTAATAATTATATCATTGAGCTTTATTGTGTTGGTTCGTCGCAAGTCACACTGTAACGCCGCCTATATAATGTTTGCCACCGCAACAGTGTTATTAATCATTATAAAATTACCTGTCTTTGCATTAATGATGTTAAGTTCGTGAACGAATAGTTCAATCGAACTATTCACTTGAATGAACTATTCCGAAATATTTCAGTACTTTTAACCTAACAGTTCACAGTTCAAATAATATTATATTGGTATTATTATAGCCGCGACCGCGCTATAAGATAATATCATAGATTAGATAAGTTTATCATGACAAAAAGTATTCTTTAGAGCTGTTCTTTTGCAGTTTAACAAAATATTAAACCTTTTTATTAAACAAATGAACAATATTACAAAAATGAAGTAAGTAACAATCTCTTATTATGAAAATATCATAAAATAAAATAACATCTTATGTCTATAAATTGTTGTGCAAAAATATGAGCTGTGATGTTTTTTTTTTGTGTCTAAGCGATTCCTCTTAAGAGTTATTATTTGACCAGCTTCTAAAAAAATAACAAATGTATAGAGATGAGGGTAAACAAGTTTTTGCTCATACCACCATTTCAAAGGATCATCTTTATGGCCTATCACACTTTTGATGACTGAGTGGATAGGACTTTTTCATTCTTATCTTCATAAAATTTCCATAATAAGGATAATTTGGGTGACTGATATATTGGTGATGGATCAGATGTTAAAATTAAACATATTGGATCAATGTGCTGTGCAGGTTGATTTTGTGGGAAACGAATATTTTTTAAGCGGTATACGTAAGTCATCTAAAGCAATCTTAAACTTCCTTTCACTTAAAAAGACATATTTTTTGAATCTACGATCCAAAATGGATGCCTGTGCAATAATTTTGCTGTCTTTAATATCTCCAAATCGTAAAGAAAGTTCAGTTTTAAGGGAAATTGTCATTTGATGGATTTCATAAGGTAATGAGTTGTCATTGATATAAGATTCTATTGTCTGGTACATTGAACTTGCTAAAATTATTATTTTTGATGCTGATAAATTTTTTCAGAACTGACTCAATAGTGACTTCATTAAAATTTCCAGTACATCAATGGCCTTAACTATTATTTCCCATTCTGTTGATGACAAAATTTCTATATCACTTTGTAGAACTGCCAAAGTTGAAATTACCGTATCATTTATGGTAACAATTCTTTTCAACATGTCATAAGTTGAATTCCACTTAGTCACACAGTCTTGTTTTAATTTCAACATAGGTAAACCCGTTTGAGTTTGTGTTGAAAGTATAGATGAAAAGTTGTCAGATATCATTATTACATAAAATAATCATTCATATGCAAATACTAGAGATTTTTCAAAACCGGATCATTTTTATAATAATATTAATAACGCTTCGTTGGGCGACGAAAATAAAATAGAGGGCTCAGGTAAAAACATTTTTATGAAAATATAGACGATTTCAATAGAACTTTTGAAGTAAATCAAATACCGAGTAATTGTAATAATTTAACAGAGGGAAAACTCTAGATTTACTTTCATTATTAACTAATTGTATAGAAACAATAAATTCAAATATTTCCAGCATGAAGTCTAATAACCGATTTTAGTTGATGAAACTGGATTATTTTTGGGTACTGAGGATGTAAAAAAATTTTTCAAGCAGTATGATGTAATTATACAAAATTAAAGTTGGTAGCGACTATGTGATATCGGGGTTATAGAGTCCGAAGGTTTAGAACAATAAAGATAAGTAGATATAAAAAGAAATAATTAAGATTTCTCTTATAGAGATATTATAAATGACTTAACTGATAAGTACCTGTAATAATACACTGAGGCACCGACTTATTTTGTGTCCCCGAACAATCATCATTGTTTCATTTTTAACACGCTTATATTAGTTTCACATGTATGTTTGTTGTTTGTCGTTTGTAAGTTTGTAACTCCACACGGCACGTGTTATTATGTCGTATATCGTGTATGACCTTGAGACTAGACTGTCGTAACGCATTCACCCCCACCCCGCTCACCTCTCGCCATTAACACAATTTTCCTGTATAATTTTATTTTTGGTTTTCGTACCCGTATACGCGTGCGTGTCATTAATTATATATATAACAAATTTTTATTGTAATTGACACGACCCCGCGTCGCTTTATTCTAATTAAGAGATATAAAGTAATCATTCCGATTACGAGGGATAATTTCCCTCGTTAATAATTGAGTTATTTGCGCGCCTGCTGCTTTCCTTGGATGTGGTAGCCATTTCTCAGACTCCCTCCCCGGAATCGAACTCTGATTTTCCGTTAACCGTAACAACCAAGATATTGATAGTAACTACTATCATAACATGAAACTAATAAGTGAAAAATAAATATAGTTTAAAAAAACTAAAAAAACACGCTAAAAAATTTAAAAATAATTTTTAAAATAAGCTTAAAATAATTTTTAACTTTATAGTTCAATGTGCTTTAAAAGCGTGTTTTTTTAGTTTTTTTAAACTATATTTATTTTAGCTTCGATGCGAAGCTGAGAAGGTATTAATTTTACCATGATTTTTTTATTTTTTTTTTTGTGTCTGTCACTACTTTTTCTCAGCTCTCACTGGACCGATTTCTTTTAACAATACGTCAAAAGATCACAAATTGTATCTAGTTGAAGACATTACCCTTAAAAATTTAAAAATTTTCCCTCGTTCCCCGCAAATGGGGGAAATATCCAAAAAAATTACAAATTTAAAAATCGACAAATTTTGTCATTTTTTTCACTTTTTTTTCTTAAAACTTCCATAACTTTTTCAAAAATCAACAAATCAACATAATTTTTTTTTAAACTAAAACCTTAGATATTTTCCTTTCATTTGATATAATTTTTTTGAAAATTTAACACTTAACCTGCTCATGGGGGGGGATTTAAAATTGCAACTTTTTTACAAAAACTAACTTTTTCAACTTAATTTTTGAAAATGTTCCGGAAATACTGCGTCCTTTAAACATATATCAAATTAAAGCTTATTTTATGTACTATAAAATGAAAAAAAAAAATTTGTCCCGACACTTTATCTTCTGCATGTAAACGGTTGCCGTAGTTAAAAAAACACTATTTTTGTGTTAAAATTTTCGATTTTCGATTTTTAATTTTCAAATTAAAAATGCTATAACTTTTCGAAAAATGCATGTATCAGCACAATTTTTTTTTTTCTAAATACATTATAAGTACATCTTCCATTCGACATACTTTTTATTAAAATTAGACAATTTCCCCTTATTTAGGGGGAGTTCAAACTTTGAAACATTGTATAAAAAATAGAACTTTTTCAACTGAACTTTTGAAAATGTTCCGGAAATACT